CGTGGAAGACCCCCTCAATGTGGAACGATTCCTTGTCAGTGTCGATGTTTACACTGCTGTGCCTAACACAGATGATCTGGATAGATTCGGGCGATGGTCGATTGCAATGATGGCTTTGGTATGTCTACGGACTCGTTCTGACAGCTCTTCAGACAGCAGCTGCATGCCCCGAGCTTGTGTACCATGCACCATGGTGTTCTTATTGAACAGACAGCACTTCAGACAGCAGTACGCTGTAGTCGACATTCATTTTGGTTAAATGCGGGACAAGGGGGATGATGCTGCTGCTGTAGTCGAATTGTAGTGTGTGGGCGTGTAGTTCAGTTGTGAGCACGNCATTCTGACAGCACTTCAGACAGCAGCTGCATGCCCCGAGCTTGTGTACCATGCACCATGGTGTTCTTATTGANAGTGTCGATGTTTACACTGCTGTGCCTAACACAGATGATCTGGATAGATTCGGGCGATGGTCGATTGCAATGATGGCTTTGGTATGTCTACGGACTCGTTCTGACAGCTCTTCAGACAGCAGCTGCATGCCCCGAGCTTGTGTACCATGCACCATGGTGTTCTTATTGAACAGACAGCACTTCAGACAGCAGTACGCTGTAGTCGACATTCATTTTGGTTAAATGCGGGACAAGGGGGATGATGCTGCTGCTGTAGTCGAATTGTAGTGTGTGGGCGTGTAGTTCAGTTGTGAGCACGCAAACGTGCTGCAGGGATTGCAGGTGTACCTCCTCGGGCTTGTGTACCCTTTTCTTGCTAGTAGTTTGTGTTCTTTAGATCTTCGTCTGATGGCTCTAGCATTTTTGTGACCACGGACCGAGTCTTTGCTAGATTTTGGGATTAGCAACTGACACGAGTTTATTGTGAAGAAAAACAACAAAAAACAACAACCCCCTCTTCCGATCTGTTTGGCGGGATCCATAACGGGATCTGAGAGCTTGTTGTACCCTGCACGATGTGTAGCTGGTACACACACAGCACTCGTGAATCCCCGCACACACTCACACCAAAGCCTAACTTGGATAGTGTATAAGTGCATTTTGTATGCATTGTGCCAACGTATCCTGGGCTCTTATATCTACATACCTGCTTTGGAGACGAATTTGTTGCGTTTTGTCCAGCCGGAAAAAAAAAAAAAATCAAGCATTCAAGGGGCCTTGTCCACACTGAAGTCCAGTTATCCCGGACCGTCGAACCGACACAATCTTACAGCCAGGAGGTCTGGCCTTCGGTTGTGACTGCCTCTCAACTGTGCTTTCACGACCAGGAGGTCTGGCCTAAGGTTGTGGCTGCCCCCCAACCTGTGTGATGGGTGCTTGCACAACCAAGAGGTGGGCTTGACGTTGTGGCTGCCTCCCAACCTTCCGCATTCGCGCTTGTACAACCAAGACATCTGGCCAAGGTTGAGGCCTCCTCCCAATCCCCCTCTACAACCCGCCCCTACCCCCTCCCCCCCCCTCGGTGTTTGCCATCG